ACATTTATCAGGACCAGGATTTAAACATATATCTCCACTGATAAATAGACGAATTAGATGGAATCCAGAGACAGAATTTGAATGGTACTTAATTCGAGAAGAGAAGTAACCTTTCCCACGTGCTATACAAATTATTAGGCGTTTGTGGTTCCACGAACAAGAATGGAAATTTCTTACTTCAATCTTCACGGAATCTCCACCAAAAGACAAATTATTGCTAGATAAGACTTCGTTGAATCCATTAGTTCCATATTCATATGAAAAGATAAGCCATAGAGCAATAAAATTGAGCAAAAATACAGAGCGACAGTAAAGACGTCTGCACGCCATGTCACTGTCACTGTCACTGTCATGAATTACAAGCTTCTACAGCAGTGAAAAAGAAAAAACGATGGTAAAATACAATCAAACTTTGGTTTATTCAAGATATAAAGACAAAATTGTAATAAACATTTTGAAAACAAATGTGAGGGAGGTAAGGGTTTGAAAATGAACGGTTATAACTGGTGCCAATACCATGAAATTTTCCGATTCCTCTGTGGATCCAGAACGATTTCAAGGGCTGTGGCTGTTATATAGAAAGGCATAACACATCGCCCATTTTAGGTTTTACCTTAACCTTTATTCTTATTATTTTTTAACTCCAAAGGGAGTGACTAGCTACCCTCCCCCCCTCCCCCCCAAGCTCTAGCACATGAAATCCAACAAAAAAAATACAGATACCTTAGTGTTGGAGACCATAAGGCTCGTGATGACGTAATCAGGTTTGGTTACTACTTGTTTAGTGGACACCACAATACCATTAAAGTCAACAGAGCTGCCTTCAGCGGACGGCCAGTATTGAGGATAATAGTCCATCTGAAATTCATTAAATATGTCAGCAAATTTAGCAATGCTCCTGCTATACAAACTAGCGATAAAATCACTGGGTGGTGTGTGGTGTAAAGCTGTTCGTAGTTTGGATGACCGTGGCTGGACAATATTTAAAATTTAGGTGCTTCTTACAATAATTGAGTAGAATGTCAGTACAGAGAGTAAAATACTCCTGTCCCTCCTCCTCAGTATTCGTTGCCAATTTTCACTTTTTTAAGATATTGCTGGGCTTCAATCAGATGATGAAAATCTTGGAATCTGGTGGTCAAACACTGACTATCATGTGCTGTCAACCAGGAGAATTCTATCGAAAACTTGCGATTCAACTGAGTAAGATTCTGCTTGAGACAGGAAATGACGTCAAGAGAAACCCAGCAATAGACCCCTTGCATATGACGTCAAAGGAGCTCAATTTGGAGGCAAAACAAAAGAATTTCAATCTCATGAAAATTTTATTCTGAAATGAGGCAAGGGGTCTGTCTATACAGTGATACTTGGGTGCAATGATACAACACTTTTGATACAAGACAATTTGGGATTACAAAGGACGCTCATAGTCATATCTACTGTTACCTGTTTGCTGTTTTCATCATCGTTCACCATGACGATCAAGTGGCAATCATTGTCCCACACCATCTGCCAGAAATCATTCTTGGTCTCCAGCAGAGGATGTTGGGTAGCTATGTAACGCCGCTGACCCTTATGATCCTTTAAAATATCAAAAAGAGTGTGTCTAGTTAAGTTCAAGGATTGCGCTTCACCTTCGCTATACCCTGTATTTGTTCTGAAAACTTATGGCGGTGTAGCATTACATGGGACGTCGCAGGCAGTGTCGAGGTAGCAAGAGAAGCCACAGGGAGYCCGATTAATTGCGAGTACTACTTTTGCGACGTCGCATTTAATCAGTGTCCGCGCCGAATTTATCTGACTCAATGTCCACGGCACGGTCACGGTGTAGCATAGATTAAAATAAATAGATTAGTTTTTAAGTATAACATAGCTTTTTAATATCCTTGACTAGTTTTTATCGACTTTTTTCTTAATTGCGCACATATACTGACTATAAGTATTTTATATTTCTCTCTTTGTTTAACATTGGTTTGTTCTTAATCAATGAAATGGAGATATTTATTATTATTAATTTTTAATATTATCAGCATTGAAATGCCTGAATAATCTACTTACATGTAGGTAGCTGGCGTTAATATAGTCAGGAGATGATGATATCTTGACACGAGAGCGAGGGTCTGGGGTCGAAAAAAAAGAGACTCATTATCGTCTGGTAACCCATTCTCTAGTCACTTAAGAATGGTAAAATTAAGTCATGTCTCTAATTCTAAATAACGATAAGAAGAGATAGCTAGCTAAAGACTAGTGTGAGCTGCGTCGGTGTTTCTAATGAAACAGTAATGATAAAAGGGTATATTTTACGCCGTGAAAAGATGAAAAAACTTACTGACGTTTCGGACGCTAGTCATTCGTCTTTTACTCCGACGAAGGACTAGCGCCCGAAACGTCAGTAAGATTTTTCATCTTYTCACGGTGTAAAATTTATCATTTTATCATTACTAATAGTTATAACTTTAAATAACTATAATTCATGACATTGCCGAATTGGAGCAGATCCGATATTTTGACAGAGTTAAAGGAGGTGATGGGAGGGGGACGTGGGATCGGAAACCTGAGGTTCGGCCAAAATCAAAACAAATGATTTCTGAAAGCCCCTTTTTTGTACTGGACGATTTTTAGGGGGAAGGGGATAGACGAATTTATCTCTCCCCCACCCCCCTTCCTCCCCAGTGGAATAACTATAAACGGGGATGACAAACAAGAAACAGTATTCAGCAGCTTCTCGAATGGCTGTGAAACAAACAGTCAAGTGTTAAGTAACATAATAACGTACTTGGCAATATGTCTGGATTTCTGTTCTTGCCCGCAGTGTTCGCTGGGTAGGTTCCAAGTGCTGGCATCTCTTTGTCAAGATTCTGTTATAATACGTACAGGAATAGAGAGAGTTAAGACATGACAGCAGAGAACATGGCAAGAGAGAAGGAAAGAAATGGAAAGAAATTTGGAATAGAGGAATGAGAGAAAAAGGAGATGCGAAGAAAAGAAAGGAATAAAAGGTTAGTTTGTGCACTATATCGACAGAAGCATTAATCAGAATTCCGTGTCGAATTGCTTGGTAAATCCATAATAGAGCTAGGTACCTAACTGTACGCAATCCCTGTCCTCTTAATCTGACTGACCTCAGTTGATCACATATTGAAGAAATAGAAAACGCGCGCGCGTGTGCTGTCATAAAGCACACGGGGGTTGGCAGAACACGAGAGAAGTGTTAGGAGAAGCACGACGCGGAGTGCTTCTCGACACTTCTCGAGTGTTCTGCCAATCCCCAAGTGCTTTATGACTGCACACAGCACAGCAAGCAAGTTTTTTATTTCTTTTATAAAATACAAATTACAATAATAGATAGAAATGACGCAACGGAAAGTGCGCGCGCGTGCTAAAGCACGCGCTCCAAACCAATCAGAACGCGACATTCATAACAGTTATTTTATGGATAATAATAGCTTTCTCACCTTGAACTCTGTTTCTTTCTTCTTCTCGTTCTTGTTTCTCAGCGCCAGTCCAACAATACCTACAGTTGCCGTCTTGTGTTTCAAGGGCTCGGCATCATCATCGACTAGAGAATGGATGGATGATCGACGCCTCTCTCTCTGTAGCTCATCATCGATGTTTCTGAGGCTTGAACCACTAGATGGTCTAGAGGCAGTGGGTGAACCTAGAACGAAAGAGCATCGTCATCATCATTATCATAACTATATAATATATCATTACCATTATAACCATAATCCGGCATTACTATGGAACACAGCAGCAATATCGTCTTCACCACAGCACTACTACCGCCTCCATCATCATCAACATTAACATCACCATTATCATGTAACGCTACTACCACCACCACCACCGTCGTCATTAACATCACCATTATCATGTAACGTTRCTACCACCACTATCATCATCATTAACATCACCATTATCATGTAACGCTACTACCACCACCACTATCATCATCATTAACATCACCATATCATTGAACACTAGTACTACCACCACTATCATCATCATTAACATTACCATTATCATGTAACGCTACTACCACCCTAATCATCATCMTTAACATCACCATTATCATTTAACACTAGTACTACCACAACTATCATCAACATTAACATCACCATTATCATTGAACACTAGTACTACCACCACTATCATCATCATTAACATTACCATTATCATGTAACGCTACTACCACCCTAATCATCATCATTAACATCACCATTATCATTTAACACTAGTACTACCACAACTATCATCAACATTAACATCACCATTATCATGTAACGCTACTACCACCACCATCATCATTATCAACATCAACATCAACATCATCATTATCACATCACCACTAAATCTGCCACTACCATCATCCTATCATCTTCATCATCATCACCAGCAGCACATGCAATTACAATATAACATCGTATGATCCTTAATACCTCCTCTTGATCCTGACCCTCTTCGAGGCGCGGGGGATCCGCTATCTGGTGCAGGGCTGGTAACAATAGCAGGCGTGAGACTTTCGCGTTTGTTTCCCTACCAAATAAATAAGTATTAGCATTAAAGACACACGCATTCACCATTATGATACCAATAAATTATATTTTTTAGAATTGATTTAAGAAGTCCTACTTGTGTTAAGCTTTTCTGCTAAATTTTAAAACAGAAGCGCGCAATAACTTACATCTGCCATCGATCCTGCCATTAACCCTGCTGTCCCGGCTTGARCAGCTCCTCCTGCGGCGGTTGCCGCTCCGGCTCCAGCTCCTCCAGTTCCAGCTCCTCCAGCTCCCGCCCCTCCGGCTCCTGTCCCTCCGGCATTTGGCCTTCCGCCATTTATCTCCACATAGCCATAACTTCCAACACTTCCGCCTCTGCTCTGTCGCTTGGCGGCATCATCTACCGTGGCGTAAGTATTGTCACCCTTCCCATCTATCGTCAGGCTGGTGTATCCTCCATCAGCACTTGGCTTTCTGTCACCCAAGCCATACTGCAGGTTCTGATAACTCGTTGGCTGACCGCCTGCTTGCTAAGTATCAAAGAGTAATGGGATTTAGAAATAGGCCATCTCTGGTTGCCTTATGGCCTGATTCTGCGGAATTTGCACGTATATTTCCTACTTCCAAACTAAGAATTTTCTGGTTACTAACCTTGTCACTATCGGAACGAACATCTTCATAACCGGAATTTTCCTTCCCTTTGTCATCCTTAGGAACATCAAGATTGTTGTTGCCTTTCTTGTCACCTTTTCCATCTCCATCCTCATCACCAGATTTGTTTTTATTTTTTCTGTCTTTGGTCCTTCTTTGCCCTCTTCGTCTCCCGCCACAGAGCTGGTCTACGTCACTGTCGTCGCTATCGTAACCATCGCCGCTTCTTCTTCCTTTTCTGTGTCCTCTACCCTTCTTCCCACCGCCATCAACACCATTAAGGTTACCGTCACCACTACCGCCACCACCACTGTGATTTCTTCTTCCCCTTCTGTCSTCATCTGAGTCGTAGTCTCCTCCCCTTCCTCGTCCGCCGCCACCTCTGCCACCAAAGCAAAGATAATCATCGCTGTCATCACTATCGCTGTAGCCATAGCCTCTTCCTCCGTAGTAGCCTCCTTTGTGGTGCTTTTTAGCTTTTTTTCTTCCTTTCCCGCCTTCTCCGTTTGCTTGAGGATTTCCATCTGCGTCAACGGCAACCATTTCTACATTGCCGTATTTATCTCTATGGCGACGGCGTCTTCTTCGTCTTGCAGCGCCGCAGCAGATCTACATAACAAAAATAACCACACTGTAACATATATTGCTGATACAAGAGTTGCAGCTTACTTCTATTAGCGTACATCCTTTATCAAAACACAGCTGGAAAGGGTTCAAAACTTTTCTTTACAAATATAAGTACAGCAAAACGACCTTCTTTTCATAGACCACTTCTATTAAAGGATACTATGTAAGATACTCATGAAGGTGTCTGCTTAATACAGGTACCACTTCAAAAACAAAGTTAACAGAACTTTGGCTAAGCAATCTGGAAAAGTGGCCTTTCATTTGCCGAGAAAAGGAAGACATAGCCAAAAACGCTGAAGGTCGAATTCTAACGATAAAACTCGTTACGCGCAACGTTGCAGACGTAGATTTTGATTCTCGCTTCTTGAACGTTGCGTTCAGCGATTTGCGCAACTGTTACATTGTGTTTCTCAGGAATACTTTCTCGAAACTTACACAACAGCAGGCCAAGAACAAAAGGATGGCTCCTATGACTAGTGCGATGATGATCAATATCAAGATCCAGTCATCCATCTTGTCTTTGTTGTCGAATTCTTTAGCATCACATCCTGCTAAGTTAAGGCCGATGACCTGGGAGGAAAAAACATTACTTACATTACAGACCCAATCGATAGACAGGCAGGTGGACAGATAGATGGACAGACAGCCAACTCCATTACAAATATCAATACCTACCTTGCCTTTAAAGTCTGAACCCATCATATTAGTATTTCCATTATCCACCATCATCTTCAGTACCCGATAGGCCTTCAAAGTGACGCACTTAGAAGGCGTCTTAGATCCCGTTTGGTTGGCGATGTAAAACCACAGATCCACTTGCTCGTCATCCTTCGAAGGATCGGCACAATTTTTGCGTGCGTTGATGAAAACCACACGATCTGAGGACACTCTGTTTCCCTTTTTGTCATGCACATTCTTCGCTATGTTCTCTTTCAGCGATTCTTCGAGCTTCGAACAGAACTGACTCCACGTCAAAGCAAGGCGAAGCCTCACGAAGAGACGAGGTGTTTTACCCATAACTGGAGGTTGCGTTGCTGGAGTTGTTGCTTGTGTGCCTGTTGATTTCTTACTCATGTCAGTGTTGAGTGGCATCGTGGTGGCTGAAGGAGTAGGACAAACTATTGACACGGTATCCTGAGATTCATCAAGGCTTGAAGGATTAAGAAGCTTTACTTGTACGTTAGAGACCTTTGAGTTAGAAGAACTGCAGTCCTGCAAGTCACTACCAATGGATTTTGGGTCCTTTGACTCGCTATACTCCACTAGAGCAACTACTTTAACATTAACGAGGGATGCACGAACAAATAGCGAGACGGGAGAACTGCATTCCAGGTTAATACCAGAAGGTCTCATATATCCCGAACTATTCAGTGCCATGTCTAGAAATGTCGAAATGTTTTGTTTTAGCACTTGGTACTCAGTGGAACTCTTGTTGGAACTACACGACCCAGTGGCATAATCGAATTTCACTTCGAATATTTTCGTCATCGATTTTGGGAAGGCTGAAAACGCCATGAAAGAAGAAGACTTCACTGGGATTCYATGCACAGAACCATTCTTTACCGCTTCAGTAAGTTTTTCTAGAGCTTTTGAAGGGTATTTATCAACGCTCATGTCCATCCATATCCGTAAGGTATACCACGATTCGTTCTTCAGTAATACTGTGACTGTTTCGTTTTTTATTCCAAGAACATATTTTACTGCATCTGTCACATTGGTGTCTGTTATGCTGGTGTTAGAGACATTAAACGAGACGACGAACACTCGCGAAGCTGGAGTCATGGTGTGGTTCACGGTATCGTTGTAATGATATTCTATACCATCAAGAAGTTTGTTCTCAAAGTCTTCAACTTTTTCCTCATCGATAAACATATCTGCAATGACTCCCGGAAAATCATCAGGCTCAGGGGAGCTGTAATACCTAACAACGCTAGACGCACAGCTTTGGTTTCCAGTGATTGCGTTCATTGATTCTTTGATACTATCTGTCAGTTTTCTCGTCTTTTCTAGAGTCCCGTTTCCCAGTTCTATTCTCCATATTTCGCTTCTGAGGTTGACCCTTCTACTACTGCAAGCTGGAAAACAAACAAGGAACGAAGTAAATAGAGTTTATGTTAAATTCTGGTGCCAAATGCATTGCCAAATAAAATACCCAAGTGAAACAGTGATAGGGAAAAAGATAGACTACTGCCTCACTTTCATCCCCACACCCCCTCCCCTCCGTACATTTTCTTGTGATTTAGTTATAGCTGGGAGCTCAAACAAATATCCGGGGGAGGGGAGGGGGAGGGGGAGGAGACGGAGGTGGAGAGGTGCTAAATGGCTGGTATTTTTTGGCAACAAACAATGCAAAAAAAAGGAAATGTCGACGTTGCAAGCGTATCTTTTGAAATTTTCGCATCTTCTCTTACAAGGGCGTTAACCAAGATATCCCTTTTAAGAAGAGAAGGCCTTCATGTGAAGCCATTCAATCATTCGAGATGAAATGCGATGATAGCCATGGCTGATTCGTCGTCAAGTCAACAGAGAAACTTCTAGTAACTTCTGGAAATAATTTACGAATGTGATCAAAGACTTACTCTCAAATAAAGGTCAAATAGAAAAAACATATTCGATTCGCGAAGCTCAAACAATATAAAATGACCACGAATATACTCGTAGAAAATAATTTATGAAGAGAACTAGTACATTTTAGCGATTAACAGGTCGCGTGAATCCTTAAAACATGCCTTTGTTTGCTTAGCAGGTGAGAGCCATTATCACTAAGGATTACAAGTAGACAAATTCCGATATAGTCAACCAAAATTTCTCGTAAATAAAGTCAAAAATTCCATTTTGTTCAACGTATTAAAGAAATCCATTCTTCAGAAGAAACAATGTTGAGAATATTCAAAAAAAATGAGCTTAATTTACTCTACCTTTTTTATATATATCTTTGATGGAAACACTTAAAACCTTTCGAGATTCCGAGATTTTTGACAAGTTCCATTATTTAAGACTATTTAATTCGTGTTTACAATGGCGACGATTCCAAAAGAAGTTAAACCATGAAATTAAATTATATTAAACTAAATTTCCATTGTATTTTGAAAGTGAAAATATCTATTAAAAAAGATGGAAAATCTGAAAGAAATTTTTTCCTACCAGCTTCCGAGAGTTTGAAGGTGCTTAGAGCTGCAGTAGCCAAGACCAACAGTGCTAATAAGTGGATGGTATGTGTTACATAGCTTTGTTGTCGCGTTTGAGTCATCCTTGGGTATACCTCAAGAATGGCTCTCGAAATTTATTTCCTCTTATCTTTATATGCGAACGCCAGGGAGAACGTAATCTATAAAAGTATATAAAAAAGAAGATACAGTAATAAGAATTTGGGAAGAATTATTTGTCCATTCCTGCCCATTTCACAGTAGACAAAGGTAAATGAAACTAATGAAAGCTCGTTAGCGCACACTATCACAAAAATGTCCCTTTTTGAGAAAAAAACTAACAATTACATCACCAGGCATTTTTTTCTTTTTCGTGAAAAGTTTTAGGGAACACTTAAAGAACTACGTACAGTGCTTAAAATATAAAGTTTGAAATATTCATAAAATTGTTTTCGTGTAGAGAATGTAGCTACCTGAAGAAACAAGAGCTGAAAAAATAAGTAAAATACGTACCAAGAACCATGTTACAATTTAAAAAGATATTTAATTTCTATCGTTTCACTCACCTCTTGTTGCGCTGGGAAGGTTAGATCCAAAGTAATGGGTTTCTTTCAACAAAATTTACTTAACAACAAGGCATAATTGACTTCCTAATTGAGCGACGCATGACGTTTTGGCACTTCTGTCTTTTTGACCAATTGCAGCACTGTGCAATAGATGTGCGAGGGCCGATCTTTTATTTAGTCTCAAGTTAGTCACGAAGCGCTTCTCATTGGATTGATGATTGTAGACAGTTTATATTTCAAGTGTTTGGAAAGGTTAATGATTGCACTGAGTGGGACAAATTAGACTGGTTGTCAGTTGAACGGTTTTCAATGTCAAGAAGACAACAGTATCGGCTAAACACAAAAATGCATAAATTGATTCCCGGGTTATGTAACAATTTAATAGGAAATAACCAATATTAAACGTGATTAGCGAGATGTTAATGGAAATATTCGGCAATATAAACGCCATAAAGAAATTATTTTCATTTTCCAATTGATTGAAAAACGTATTTATTTGAGTCAGTACTGAGTAGCGAGGAAGGAAACGAAGGAAACGAGGAAGGAAAAAATAGGATACTGACGAACAACACAACCATTCAAACAAATCAGGTACAAATAAGAAAGCAAACAAAGAGCATGGTTTTGAAAGCTTTTAGGTAGATATCAAGTTACGATAAAATATGCACTTCGTTTATGAGCGCGCGCGCAAACTCTCTGCAAATGCGACAAATAAAACGTCATAAATCGTCACAATTAAAAAAAATCATATTGAAATCACGAAAACGCGCAGTGAAAAAGACTTTTGATTATGGGGAAATTTAAACAATTTCAGCAAAGCCGAAGAACTTTCAAAAAAACCATCAAAAATGTACAAAATTCGTTCAACGCATGCGCAGAGAAGCCTTCTCAGGTCAAAGGCACAACGTTGGCAGTTAACGGAAAGATCTATGAAACCCTTCTAGAAGAGCTGCGGTGCCCAGTCTGCTATGAAATGTTTAACYATGCTAAATCACTGAGTAAATGCTTTCATACTTTTTGCCAGCAATGTTTGGAAAAGATGATAACGAGAAGAAACAAGAATGTCCATTGTCCACTTTGCCGTAAGAAAACACCTCTCCCAAAACGAGGCGTGAAGTTTCTACCAACGAATAGCGTGGTACTACGTCTGTTGGACAGCTTTGGAGATGTTCTTCCTAAAATAACGAAGGCCGAGGTAGCACCGGTCCGAAATAAGTGCGAGGCGTCATCCAGTTCGCTTAAGAAATTATCACTAGGTCTTGAAAAAGATATTCGTCAATTGGAACAGAGTTTAAAGAAAAAGGAAAAGAAATTCCATAAAGATGTTCAAAATGTAGTTCAGAGATATAAGAAGCAAACTAAACAACGACAAAAACTCATTAAAAGACTTTAATTCCTAATTATAACGAAATTTGTTACACACGGTACTTTTGATCCCGTTCGAACCAATAGTTGACACGTTTTTGCTGGAACTTATATTTACTGCTTCTTTCTTTGAGATCTATGCTCAGTACATGTGTGTAAGAATATATCCCT